CAGATTCAACACTATCCCCATCAAGCTACCAATGACCTTCTTCACAGAACTGGAAAAAACCACCTTAAACTTCATATGGAACAGAGCCTGCATACCCAAGTCAATTCTAAGCAAAAACAAACAAACAAACAAACAAAAAAAGCAGGAGGCATCACACTATCAGACTTCAAACTCTACTAAAAGGCTACAGTAATCAAAACAGCATGGTACTGGTACCAAAACAGAGATATAGACTAATGGGACAGAACAGAGGCATTGGAGGCAACACCACACATCTACAACCATTCGATTTTGACAAACCTGACAAAAACAAGCAATGGGGAAAGGAGTTCCTGTTTAATAAATAGTGTTGGAAAAACTGGCTAGTCATATGCATAAAGCAGAAACTGGACCCCTTCCTGACACCTTACACTAAAATTAACTCCAGATGGATTAAAGACTTAAACATAAGACCTAACACCATAAAAACCCTAGAAGGAAATCTCGGCAAAACCATATAGGACATAGGCGTAGGCTAGGACTTCCTGACCAAAACACCAAAAGCATTGGCAACAAAAGCCAAAATAGACAAATGGGACCTAATCAAACTCCACAGCTTCTGAACAGCAAAAGAAACAGTCATTAGAGTGAACCGGCAACCAACAGAATGGGAAAAAAATTTTGCAACCTACCCATCTGATAAAGGGCTGATATCCAGATTCTACAAAGCACTAAAACAGATTTACAAGAAAAAAACAAACAAGCCCATTCAAAAGTGGGCGAAGGATATGAACAGACACTTTACAAAAGAAGACGTACATGAGGCCAACAAACATATGAAAAAATGCTCATTATCACTGGTCATTAGTGAAATGCAAATCAAAACTACATTGAGATACCACCTCATGCCAGTTAGAATGGTGATCATTAAAAAATCTGGAGACAACAGATGCTGGAGAGGATGTGGAGAAATAGGAACACTTTTACATTGTTGGTGGGAGTGTAAATTAGTTCAACCATTGTGGAAGACAGTGTGGTGATTCCTCAAGGACCTAGAAATAGAAATTCCATTTGACCCAACAATCCCATTACTGGGTATATATCCAAAGGATTATAAATCGTTCTACTGTAAGGACACATGCACATGAATGTTCATTGCAGCACTGTTTACAATAGCAAAGACCTGGAACCAACCCAAATGCCCATCAATGATAGACTGGACAGGGAAAATGTGACACATATACACCATGGAATACTATGCAGCCATCAAAAATGATGATTTCATGTCCTTGTAGGTACATGGATGAACCTGGAAACCATCATTCTCAGCAAACTGACACAAGAACAGAAGATCAAACACTGCATATTCTCACTCATAGGTGTGTGTTGAACAGTGAGAACACATGGACACAGGGAGGGAGGCATCACACACTGTGGTCCCCTGGGGGGAAATAGGGGAGGGACAGCAGTGGGTGGGGAGTTGAGGAGGGATAGCATGGGGAGAAATGCCAGATATAGGTGATGGGGTGGAAGGCAGCACATCACACTGCCATGTGTGTACCTATGCAACAATCTTGCATGTTCTTCACATGTACCACAAAACCCAAAATGCAATTTAAAAAAATTGAAAAAATATTGGAAAGAAACAGAAAAAAATATAGGACACCCAGTTAAAGTTCAAAGTTTGAAATTCACATTAACAACGTGTATTTGTTTTCCTTTTTCCTTCAATTTTAATGTACGAGTTTCCCATGCAATATTGGTATACACTTATACTAAAGATCACATTCATTGTTTATGTAAAATTCAAGTTTAATTGGATATTCTGTATTTTATTAGACATCTCCATTCATTTTTTTTCTGATGATTATCCAACATTTTTTGTATTTTATTATTGACAACTTCATGATTCTGAAAACGTTATCTGGAAGAATTCTTAGAGGCTTGAGTTGACAGCCAATTGTTGCAGAGAGAATCTGCATTGACTTCTCCCATTTGTCTGTGGGCACCAAAAAATCCAGGACTACTTTTTTAAAAAACGTCAACCCTAAATTTTATATTTGGATTTCTTATACTTTGAGTCTTCTTTTCCCATTTACTTCTTTTAAATGCTTCACTAAAGAGACTTATCAATTTGCATGGCCCTAGCCAATGCTCAGTTAGATGTTTTAGAGTATTTCGTCTCAAAAACAACACATTTAAATGTAAACTGTTCTTCTCCTTTCATTCTTGTAGCCTGCTTCCTCCTTTCTGAGCACAGTTTCCAGTTCACATTCAACTCTCATCTCAAGTCTCCCAAACTTGGGGATTTCTGAGTTCCCAGAAGAGAGAAGCTGATTGGTCCACTCAGTGCTGATGATCTATCCCTGGTCCAGTCACCTTGGCTAGACATTTGGGATTATAAAAATTAATGTACACTCAGAAGAGTTATGAAAACAGACTTTTTGATAAAGAAAGACAGTTAACAAACAAGTAGAGTTATATATCTGCCACATTAAAGAAAAATTTCCAACAATTTTTCTAAAACCCTGTTGTCAAATCCAACAGTCATTTTTCAATGACCCATTATTTGATGTATTAGCAGTACTGGACACTTTACCACTCCTTCCTCCTGGAATCTTTTACTTATTTATTGTTAAATTGGTGCCTAGAAAACCAAGCTGTACTGCTTTTCCTCTGAATCTACTGACTATTTCTTCACAGCCTCCTTTGCAATGTTCCTTTTCTCTTGATCTCTAATAACTGAGATATTCACAGGCCCAGTCAGTTCTTGGACATCATCTCTTGTTCAACTATAATCACTCCTTGATAATGTTATTCAAACCAGAGGCTTTAAATGACATCCACGTGAGAGGATACTCAGCGTTTTGTCTCCAGTTTACCCCTCTTATTCAAACTTCATGTTAACATATCCAGCTGCCCATTTGACATCTCACTTGTATATGAAATAATAATTGTAAATTTCAAACATCCAAAACTGAGTTCATGATATTCTATACTCCTAAACCCGTTTTTCCTGCAGTCTTCCCTATTTCAGCTATGGGTAAATACATTTTTCCAGTTGCTCAGTTCAAAAGTCATGGTATTATTTACTCTTTGCTCTTAAACACTCCATACCTACCTGTCGTCAAATCCTGTTTGCTCTCCTTCAAATACACCCAGAACCTTATCACTTCTCACCTTCTCTCCTGCCACTGCTTTAGCCTGTCATCTCTCTCCTGGATTATTGCAATCGTCTGCTTCTATTATTTTTCCTCTTTGGAATCCTAAATACATAACAGCCACGAGGAACTCCCCTCTGCTTTAAAACCTCCAGTGCCTTCTCCCTAAGAAAAATTAAAAAGTCCAAGTCCACCCTATGCTGGGCTGAGATTGTCATGGCCAAGCACATGTAACCTGCACGCTCAGCTCCCTTCCTGCCTTTTGCTCACTCTTTCGAGCTACACCAGCTTTCTCACATTTCCTGGAACCCATCAGACCAGCCTGTACTTCAGGGGCTCTGTGCATCTTGTTTTTTGCAATGTCTTTGCAAAAAAGTAACTTAGCCAGGGTTTCTGGAATAGAAGTAATAGCTGCTCCCATTCTCTGGTATGCAAAATAAGACCACTTGTAGGCACTCATGGTCCAGGTTTTGCTATCTTTTATAAACACCTGCACTCTGATTTGAACTGCCAACTCCAGCGTCATCCTGTCTTTCCAATGTCTCTTTTGCCACTCTCCCCAAATATCTGCACGACTCACTGCTTTAGACCTTTACCCAAATTTCGCATTCTCAATGAGACTTTCCATGGTGAACCTACATAAATTTCTTTTTTTTTAATTTGAGACAGAATCTTGCTCTGTCACCCAGGCTGTAGTGCAGTGGCATGATCTCTGCTCACTGCAGCCTCTGCCCCCTGGGTTCAAGTAATTCTACTGCCTCAGCCTCCCAAGTAGCTGGGATTACAGGCAAGCACCACCACGCCTGGTTAATTTTTGTATATTTAGTAGAGATGGGGTTTCACCATGTTGTCCAGGCTGGTCTCAAACTCCTGGCCTCAGATGATCCACCCATCTCGGCCTCCCAAAGTGCTGGGATTACAGGCATGAGCCACCACGCCTGGCTGTAAAATTTCACACCACTGAACATTTCCTATTTTCTGGTTCCTACTTTATTTTAGCATCTACTGCCTGCCATGCATTTTCTGTACTGCTTTATGTTTTGTGCTATGCAACTTTCCCACTAGAAGGCACACTCTTTGAAGGAAGGATGTTTTGTCTCCTTTACTATCTGCTATTTTAAATTATTAGAACAGAGCATAATACATGGACAGTGATTGATAAGTATTTGTTACATTACTAAAATAAATTATTAATAGATCATTTTGATTCCCTCAATATAATAGGTAAGTACTGCTCTCAATTATTAGGTGAGACTCAAAGTTCAGAGATTGTCATGACTTGCTTACTCTGATAACAGCATACCTGGCATAGAAACTCAGACTTTATAACTTTGAAAGCTCTAGCCTTTTACATTTTTTCTCCAGAAAAGGCCAAGGATCATACCTTAAACTTATTAGATGTTCACTAGGTTCTGGTTGAGGATAAGAGTTTAGGTATCTGTATTTTCATTTTTAATTATTTTAAGCTTTCTTCATATCTCATTTATTTCACTTAAATGTTGGTGTCTTCCCTGAGAAAGAGACAATAATTTAATTGCTATTTGGTTTCCATTCCAAATTATGTGTTCTTTTCCAAGTAAGAAAGATAAATACCTTTCCCCTGCCATTCTCTGAAATTTGCACCAAGAAGTCAATACAAGATTTATTTGAGGTGTCTTGACCTTGGGGTGGCCATCACAAACAGGTTTTGCATTTCTGATTTCCCCCAAATCTTTAGTGACTGATTTCTGCAAGAAGTGCCAAATCTCTGTGCCTTCTTCTGTGTAACAAGAGTTAGATTACTTTATCAAATATTTGAGTTACTGAGTAAAGTCTTTCTTTCCTCCATTTATTTAATGTCATCTTCTTCCACCTTTGCAGGTTTCTGTGAATGGATTTTCCACAACTATCAAGCATTGGGAAACCAAGAAGCCTGGTTCAAGATTGATTAGGACCGTCGCCATATATAAGCCTGAAAATTTGGTCCCCTGACAAGATAAGCACAGACAAGAGACTCTATCAGTGTCAGCAGCTGCCTCATGTTAAGACGTGCATTTTGGGCAGCAGTTCTAAAAATGGCTAACTGGCTTTAGCAGAAAGAATGCCTCATGTGTTCTCCTAGAGCAGGGGGTGCACCCTTGATGAAAGCCGAGTGACTTTTTAGATAAGAGTGCTATGTCTGATTGTTATTAAAATGTCACCCTTGGTAATGACATTGCAGGGCTCTTTCATCAGAACGAGGTGTTAGTGCCTGCCACCCACATGGCCAATTGGAATCCAGACATCTATTGATGAGGGTGCTGTGACGTTGGGGCTACAGGCTTTGAGACAGATGGCCCATTCACTAGATGCACACACTTCCTTTGCTGCTGCAAAAAGAATGGCCTCAGAAAGGTATTCTGTTATTTGATTCATGAGTCTTGGGGATAAGACAGACTTGTAGATGCACTGTCATGCAGTAGTTTCTATCATGTTTCTGAAGTTAAAAGTAATTATTTTAAAAATCTGATATTTATTAAATGTTCAGCTATTTCAGTAAGAGGATTTGCTATGAAAAGAAGTCATGATGATCATGCAAATAACATCAATTCCTATTGCATGTTAAAGACTAGGAAGAACAAAAAGATTTTCAGCAAATGTTTTTATAACTAACAAAAATATCAGCTCATTATGGCCTGAATCAGGAAAAATTCCCCATTCCCCGTTATACTTCTTACCACTTCCTCTTCTCCTCGTTGAGGGGGATGGTTAAAGATATCTAAAAACCATGAAAAGATGAACCTTATTTTCCCTTATAAAGAAATGCCTCTTTTTAAAACATTTTTGTTCTCTCGATCATGGAGTTCTTTAAGAGCACAAATTATTCTCCCATATCACTTGAATGGAGAGAGAAATACTGCCCTGAGTGCTTAAAGTGTCTTCTTTTACTAGGACTGAGTGTGCTTTTCCACTGGGCATTGTGCCTAGCTCATTGTAAGTATTTATTCATCTTTTTTTTTTAATTGAAGGTTTTATTCTAGGCCCTTCAGAGATAATGGGACCACATGTTCTTTTATCAAAATGATTCTGCCTCTTAAGTAACTTAGCTAGGGTTTCTGAAGTAGAAGTAATAGATGCTTCCATTCTCTGGTATGCAAAATGAGACCATTTCTAGGCAGTCACAGTCCAGGTTCCTCTATCTTTTATAAACACCTGCACTCTGATTTGAAATGTCAACTCCAATGTCATACCCTAGAAACTTCAGAATCACTCCCTCTACGCTTTCTTAAAAATGCAGCTAATGCAATTTTCTTTCTCTGGTGAGGGATCTTTAGAAACACAGAGGCAAATAACAAGTGACTTGAGTTGACAAATCATTGCAATGGAAAGCATAGAGAATTTCTAACATAAACTTCTAGATTTCTTTTTTAAACACGTCAGGGGATGTGCCACGAGCTGGAGCTGTCGGGCTGGCTGCTTAACCTTCTTGAGTCTCAGATTTATGCTCTGTGAACTCAGATTAATAGTATTTATCCTACCTCACATAGTTATGAATATTAATGCCTACCATTTATTTGCTATTGGGGAATCTACAATAATGAAAATTCAGTGACCAAAATGTCCAGACAAGAAATCAATTCTTGCGCTGAACAATTAGTATTAAGCTTGTTCTTATCACTTTGCCTTTGTGCAGCATAGCTGGACATGGCTCCTTTTCTATATTCTTTTAAAATTCAAAATAATAAAGGAGGCTTTCTGTGGTGAGATTAGCATTCTGTTTATGTGCCGTGACTGTTTGCTGCAGTTTATTTTGCCTTCTTTGGAAAACAAATAATGAACTAATTTGTTACTTAGTAGTGACAGATGAACTGGCAGGTGTATCAAGCAGTAAACCATGGTGCCCTGCACATTTACATATAGAAACACTATGCTAGGAATCAGTAAGACTTAAGCCTCAAATGCAGATCTCACTGGAATATAACTGACAGTATGAGACACCTATTAAACAATGTGTGACGTACAGTTACTCCAGGGGGAAGCTGAAGGGTAAGATGCTTCCAGAATCTTGCTGACAGTGAACACAGACTGAACTGGGAAGTGAGTGATGGGCACAAGGGCAAAGAGTGTGTTGAGCAGGCAGATGCTGGGAGGATTGGGTGGCTTTGGCTCCTGGGGAGTCGCCGGAATTCTTCCCCTTGAGAAATTTTATGATAGAAGGCACCCTTGGACCTCCTAAAATTAGGGACCAAAAGTGCTATTGAATTGATTTGGAGAGAATATGTGGAGCTTATTTTCAGCTCTTAGTGTATTCATGTGGGTAACCTCATGAGAAGAAAGAGAAGGTGGATCATTTCAATGCATCCAGAGAGGAAGGCCCTCTTCCTTCACCCATCACCCCCCGCTCTCCTCCAACTTGGTTTCTTACCAATTGGTGATTCCTCCTTATTTCCCTCGCACATCTGTTACATCTGCCCTCATCTCACGAGTGTTGCTGGCACTGAGGCATTTTCTACCTGTGATACATGGCCCTGGGTCATTGCGATGGCCTCCCCACCTTCAATTTGGCCACATGTACTTCAAGCACACCCCTGATTTGAGGCACTAACTTGTTCCAAAGCCCTTAGTAGGTCTCCATTCAAGTAAAGAATATGTAGTCCAGAGGCCAGGTGCAGTGGCTCAGACCTGTAATCCCAGGACTTTGGGAGGCTGAGGCAGGAGATTCACTTGAGCCCAGGAGTTGCAGACCAGCCTGGGCAACATAACAAGACCCAATCTCTAGAAAACATTTTAAAAATCAGTCAGGCCTGGTGGCACACACCTGTGGTCTCAGCTACCTGGGTGGCTGTGGTGGAAGGATAGCTTGAGTTTAGGAGGTTGAGACTGGTGAGCTATAGTTACACCACTGTACTCCAACCTGGCTGACAGAGTGAACCCAGTGTCAAAAGAAACACAGAAAAAAAGAAAAGAAAAAGAAGAAGGAGGAGGAGGAAGAGATAATAATAATAATAATAATAATAAGAAGAAGAAGACGAAGAAGAAGAAGCAGCAGCGATCCAGACTCTACTTTCACTTGATCTTAGCCAAAAGGCCAAGAAGAAATACCCTCTACTTTCATATTCCCAACTCTCAATGACCTGGGCCCGTCTCCTTGTCTAAATCTTATTTTCATTCCCCTTAGGGGCTCTTTGTGCCACATGAGTGGAGCCATTTCTTGTTCCTTGTTTTGGTTCCTCATTCTGCACACTCCTAGGTGTGTGTGGCAAGTACTGTGAGCTTCTGTTACAGTTTATTTTAAATTATTTGGAAATTAAGAGAAAGATCTCTTCCGTGATTGTATTAATTCAATCCACTCTAACTCACTGGCTTTTCCTGGACGTTCCCCCGGACTTTCCACCTAATATCTCTCCCCCAGTCCTCAGACCCAACGTCAGTGCTGCCTCTTCTCTCCCTTCCTTTATCTTCTATCCTCCTCTGCCCAAAATGAAAGCAGCCCTCCTTCTCCAAATCCCCATCATAGTTTAACTGTAGGTTTTTAAGGTAAAACATACTTTACCATATATTTTAGAATTGTGTCCACTTGCCATATTTCCTTTCAGAGAATAAACTCTTGGTGGTCAAGGTCCATCTCTAATTTATTTTGTGTTCCTCTTTCAGTTAATTACATATGGTTGGCACTAGCTAAATATTTGTTGAATAAAAGTGTTGCCATTTTGCTTTTCCATGTTCTGATTAGGAAATCCCAGAGTGCATGGGTATATGCAGTTCATTTTCACAAAGCTCTGTGCTTTTAAATTCTGACCTGAAACAGAAGTTAAGATGATGATGTTATAGAATATTCATATACTTATGTTATCACATCTTAGACCCAAAAGGGTTCCTTAAATGGCTTAGCTGACTAAATGGATTGTCTTTGTTTTAAGGATCATTTAAATATAATCTTCCTCCCCTCAAATTATTTCAATCACTGTGAGCTTTTGCTGACCTACTTTTGAACTAGTGGAGGAAACCTTTTGAGAGCCAACGTTTGTTACTGCAGTTGAGATAATAGTGTTGTCATAGTTATAGGCTACTGTAGGTCATTTCCCCCACAAAATCCAAATGAAGAAAGAAGATTCAAATTGTTTCACACATTTGCTCTTGAGGTTCAAGAGGTCTCCCTCACAAATAACACACATAACATACCTCTTTTATGTCTGCATTCTGAACTGACAAAGGAATAAAACCCAGAAATTAGGCAGTTGGGAGAACAGAATATTCCTTTTATTATTAATGAATCAGTGATGGAGAAGGGGATCCCATGCATGGACAAGTGGTATTCAGGTATCAGAATCACTGACTGAGATGAATTGATTACCTACTCACCAAAAGTGTTGGACCCAGGCAGGTGTCTACCAACAAGGTTGGCACATGGGTTCAAAAACACTTGGCCTGGAAAAACCAAGAAGGGACCTTGTCTGTGGTGGGCCAGCAGCTACACTCGGAAGGGAGAGGGGCATGGCTGATTCAACTCATCGGTCTTCCCAAACTGAGCAGTCAGATGAATCATACCTCCTCTACTGGCTGAGGCTGGAGTGGAGAGTTGGGGTTGATTAGTGACCACAAGTGTCCCCCAGATGAAAGGCTGTCCACATGGACAGAATTAGGAACCAACTATCCCATCCCCTAACGCTTGCTCCCTACATGACTATACCTACATAGAACAAAGGTATTTTGGCTTCTCTCTTTCTATGAAGAAGATACGCATTTGAGTCCACTTCACAACCACTGGTGATGTGACTTTAACAAATCAATAAACCTCTTAATCTTAATTTCATCAAGTAAAAATGAGAATAAAATAACATTAATAAGAATGAGAAAATAATATTTATAAAAGCACTTTCTAAATGATAAAAATTCTACAAAAAAGATTAATATAACATTTATGTATGTTCTATTGATTTCTTTGGTAATTAATATTATGAAATAAAAAAAAGTTGGCATGGACTCTATCTTGTACTTTTGAGAATATTTGGAATAAAAACTAGGCTGTCATCTATTTTAATAAGACAGGGGAAATCAGAAAACCAAATATATTAATCAGAGCTGCAAATGCAAATAGATAAATTACTCTATGAAAAGCTAAAAACTGTCAAATTACAGGGAAACAAAGTCCAGAAATACGTTACTTTAAAGGGACAAACCTAAAGGACTGGAAAACACAATTTAAAAACCTGACGAAGAAAGAAGTACA